TATTTCAAGTTTTTTAATTGATTTCCATGAATTCAACTTAAAAGCATGCGTTATTGCTTCTTCTTTCCCAAATGAAATTCTAAATAAAGTGAGCCAGTTCCTCTTATTTTGCTTTTCTGTTAAATCAGCCACAACATAAACTATCATCTTTGGAGGTTTGTATTATAAGAAGAAGTAATTGCAGTTACAACTTATTTCAAACAAAGAAAGGAAAATTTATCATTCTGTAAGAAAAACAAGACAGCTTTCCCATTTTCTAATCACTTTTCATCGACATTCATCCAGAGATGGATTAGACAGCATGAGCCACATTAGTCTTTCAGATTCCCTGCTATATGCTCTGAATAACTTCATTCTAGTCCTGGAGTCATCAGTGTCATGGGGAGAGACCATTTGGGTCACGAAATATCCTTCAAGTTGACACTAGAGGCAGTGAACACAGCGTGGAAATAGCTGGTTCCAGGGGAGTTATCTCATAGTGCTCTGTAGAAAGCACTGAGTTCCTTCTCGGGTCATTCAGGGTAGCCATAAAATTTGGGTATTAAAAATAAATAAATAAACAGAAAGGCAAAGAAAAAGGAAACAAAGAAAGAAGAAAAAAAAAAAAAAAAAGGAGATGCAGCTTAGAAGCTTGCACATTTCATTGTGATAAAGACTCATTTGCCCCATGTCAGATTTTACCCTATCTTGGGCATCCCTCCCTTCCCAACCCCTCATTCAAAGCACTGTCCTCTGCCATCCTGGCACCAGCCAGGAACTGATAAACATTTTTCCCTTCCCCAGTGCCCAGAAGCTCCTGGGCTATGTCAAGCCAGAGTAATGGTTCTGTCTCACTGAGTTACTGGCAGAGCATGCTCTGCCGCTTTCAGCTCCTATCTTGGCCCATTTCTGGCTGTCACCAAGGCACCAAGCCCTGGCCCAGCACCAGGGCCTTTTTCAGGCAGATTACCCAACCACCTCTTTCATTTTTATTCTTTTCTGTGAGTAGCTCAGCTTTCCCCTGTCTGCTAGGGCTGCTAAGACCCCTCAGCGTGGCTGGGGGACAGTGCCACCTGAAGCATGATCCCAGAGGCATTTCTGTATATGACTGAGATGCAATTAAAAACACTTATATATGGAGGGAAAGAAAGAAAAGAAGCTTTTCCCAGGAGCCTGGTAATGATTCTCATGCCAAGAGGGGAAGACTTTCATTAGTCTGCCAGCATACTTGCCAGAGCTGAGCCTGGCTGATGGCACTTAACCTGCTTAGTTCATAGAATCATGCAATCATTAATGTTGGAAAAGACCTCTAAGATCATCAGGTCCAACCAGTATTGCCCACTAAACCATCTCCCTCAGTGGCACATCTCCACGTTTCTTGAGTTCTTCCAGGAACAGTGACTCCAGCACTTCACTGGGTAGCCCGTTTCAGTGCCTGACCTGAATCTTTTCAGATAAGATGTTTTCCCTAATATCCAAACTGAACCTCCTCTGGCACGTCTCAAGGCCATTTCCTCTTGTCCTATCTCATCTTACTTCTTACAAATGCAGCCTTTCTGTACTACTGCAGGGACATAGACATGTACACTGCTCTAGGGGATTCTGGTGCATGGTAGGACTTGATGATCCTTATGGATCCCTTCCAACTTGCGATATTCTATGATTCTATGGTAGTGGATAGCTGATGCATCCCACCTTCACTCATGGCATTATGAGAAAATTCTCATTCATTTATGAGAAGTGAGAACTAAAGGCAAGCCTCCCCTCTCTATTTGGTGATCGCTTGAGATTCCACTTCATTTTCTTGCCTTCAGTTGGCTTTGAAATCAATAAACTTATCATCAGTCCATTACACTCATAAACCAGATAGGAACAACAGACCCAAGGACAGTCTGGCCCTGTCTCCTCTCCTCTTCAGAGTCAAAGTGACTTGGGAAAATTAAAGAACAGGGCAGTCATATAATGCAGCCTCAAGAAATCAACCTCATCCTCCAGTGATTAGTGCTGAAAGACCACAAGAAGCAGAATGCTGTCACTTCATTAAATCATTCAGGTTGGAAAGACCTCTAAGATCAAGTTCAACAGCTCTTGTGTTGGAAGAGATGATCACTACCATCAGTAGCCTGCTCCTACCATCAATAATGCCACAAGTGTCATACCTCTAGCAGGTCCATCTTTCAAGGCTGAAAAGCCTGAAGTATCTATGACTCTTCCTCCTACAGAACATGCTCCATAACTTTGTTCATGTTTCACCCTCTTTGATTGCACTGTACCTTTTTTTTTGGTGGCGAAGAAGGTCTGTTGGGAAGTTCATGGAGTGCATATGATATAATCAAGGTGCTGAGTGAAGTTGTGCACTGTCACAATGATGTTTTCTCTTTCAATCTCTTTTCCTTTCCTTATGATTTCTATCATTAATCTTTTCTTAATAATTACCAATGTTTAATGCTTTTTTTTTTAATCACTTCTGAGTCATTATTGCAACCCATATGTCTTATTCCTCAGTGACGTATCCGATCAGAAGTCAACGTTGTCAATCTGAACTCATGAGTTATTCATTTTTTTCCTATTTCAGTTCCATATATGGATTTACAGCTGCTCTGACTCCGTAGCTCATTCATTAGAAAGGCTCTGTGGTTTGCTAATTGCATTCAGTGTATATGATGAGATCTGGATGCAGTGTGAAGATTCACACTGTGAAGGAGAGGCTAAAGGTCAGGAGCATGGCAGGCATAGGGACTGTTAAAACAGAGTCTGGTTGGGAATAGAAGGACCTGATGCTGAAGGTGGATGTAAAAGTGCCATCAAAGAAAGGCTTTCATTTGAAAGAAAAGATGGAATTATTTATGAACTTTAGCATATGATCATTTATGCTGCTCTCTTTTAAATAACACAGCAGTGGACGTCAGTAAGGCACTGAAACCATTATGGGAGAAAAAATATTTTTCATTGAGAAGAGCAACTGTGGCGAAGGTTTTATTCCTCATCTTTTGGAAAATTTACAATTTCATTTCAGTTTTTGCTCCATTTGTGCTTTTGTCTTTACGTGCACCACCTCACTGCATCTTTTCATGGCAGACTAATGGTCTGCAGAAACACCACAGGTAAAAATTTCACCTCAGGAAGGCTTGAACATGTCTCATTATAACACTCACAGAGATGAAAAGGTTTCAGGTTTTACTAACTGTAATTCTTACATGAGTTCCAAAATAAATAATGGAATTAGTCTACAGTTGTATCACCTTTCTGTCATATTGCTAGTAATCAGAATTGTACTGTGTCATGGAATAAAGCAAGAATAACACAGGGCATAAGAGAACCTGTGTGTCACAAGGGTTAGTGCAAACCACAGCTGCAGAATTTAAAAACTGGTGTTTTGCATTCTTCTGAACAGTAATTTTCCAAAATTTGATTAAAAAGAAGCCCTCTCTTTCAAAGGTCTTATAAAAAGTTATATTTTCTCCCCTTGCATTAAAACAATGATCATTTCAGAATGTTTTCACATACCATTGGAGAGAGGACTTCTCCCAGAGCCTATCACTTATAGAATCACAGAATCTTTAAGGTTGGAAAAAGTACTAAGACCATCAAGCCCAACCATCGACCCTTCCCCACCATGCCCACTAAACCGTGTCCCCACGTGCCCCATCTCCACATTTCTTCACCAGGGATGGTGATGCCACCACCTCCCAGGGCAGCCTGTTGCAATGCATTACCACACTTTCAGAGAAGATCCCTGCCAGGATGCAGGGGCAACTCCAAACACACCTTAAATAATGGGTGAAAGTTTAGAAAAGGAGAAATTGTGGCTTGAATGAGGTGATGAAAGCACAACCCTGTTGTGATGAAGATGCAATGTCTTTCTCATTGTCATTGCAAATCACAGGCCACCTAAAAGCTCTTAGGAAGGAACAAATTCAAAATCCAAATCAGGTGGATTAGTGTGTATCAAATGGGCATTTAGGTTTCAAATGGGGCATCACTCACATCACTTTGTAGCATCCTACAGTGTAATCATAATCTGTGTGGCTTTATCTCCTCTCATCATATTCTGGTGACATTATCATCCTGGACTGCATGTGATCTCCATGCATGTCTCCTCATCTTATTCCCAGACTTCTTCCCTCCTTGTCACTCCCATGCATCTGCCTTTCCTCCCACCCCTTCTGCCAGTTTCCACTTTCTTGTTGGCAGATGGCTCAAAAGAGCTCTGTTCTCCTGCCACGGGTAGTGGAAGCGTTTTCTCACCCAGTATTGGAGTGTTTTGAGGGGATAATTAATAGTGAAAACCATCACTCTTGGTGAAGGGTGCCATTTTAGTGTAACGGCTCATTTAAAATCGTTGCATGGACTCCCCTTCAAGAGTTCACCCATTTTACAGGGTCTTACGTAGTTGCAAACCAACAGAAACGTTGAAAGGCATTCCCAGGACTGATATCCATGGTGGGACACTAGCATAGGAGAGGACTAATAACAGTCAATAAACCCTTGAAGGCTTTGTGTAGAGCTGATGGCAATGCTTTCAGCCTCAGAGCTGACATTACAGCCCATCTAACAGCATGAGTTCACTGGCAAAGTAGCCAGCATACTGCAGTTCCATTGCCCATAAATAGCTGTGCTATGTAATATACGTAAAAGGCAGTCAGTGTACATTCAAAGAGACCTCAACATAATCTGCATTTTCACACAAGGATTTCCTGTAGAAATAGAAAATGATGTTAAATTCTTGAAATTGTTTTCAGTTTTCCAGTGGATTTGTGAATGGCAAAACCCTCGGATGAAAGCTGAAGTATCTAGGTACTGTGCTAGAGACAGCAAAAGAAAAAAGCTTTTTTCTTCCTGAAAATAGACACCAAGTGAAATTTTCACTTAAATCCCACATTATCTTGGATGAGAAAGATTTACTTTGGTGTAAGAGTAAGGAAGGTGAAAAAATAGCATTTGTTGCATCTAACATTTATCTAACCTTTATCTCTCTCTTTTTTTTTTTTTCTTTCTTTTACACTTTCCTCCTCTCGCAGCAAGAAAAACAGCAGACACCAAACAAGAGACCCTGGGAAGGAATCAGGAAAGTCCAGTCCCCACCGTCATGGGTTAAAAAGGACATCGAACCTGTGGCACAATCTCCCCTAGAACTAAAAACTGTAGAGTGGGAGAAAACAGGGGCCACCATCCCTCTGGTGGGACAAGACATTATTGACCTTCAGACGGAGGTCTGAGCGGAAGGGGAAGAAAGGGACTTTTTTTTCCAGAAAACAAATGAAACAAACAAACAAAACCACGTTTTAAAGAAATGATTAAATTAAATCGGAACCGAGTGAGAGAAGTGTTTGGTTTCTTTTGAAACCTTTGGTAAGACGGAGTAACTTTTGTATTGTTCTCAGCAGAGTGGGGAAATATTGCTTTATAGAGTATAGTAGATGTAGGTTCAGGACAACACAAGCTTTGCCAGGTAGGACTGGAGAAGAAGTGAGCCTGGAAGAGAGCGAGGAGGAGGCAGAGGGTGGGGAGGAGCTGTTGGGGAAGAGCCCTGTCGAGATGCTTTGGGGCCACTGCCATACGCCAGGACCCTTCCTGCTGTGCCACGGAGAGCTGCAGAAGGACACCCAGAAACCACCACCATGAGCCAAGAAGATAGAGGTTGTCTGGGGAGCACAGGAGGTGACGTCGGCGGGAGCCTCACCGAGATGCGTTGTGGCTGTAGGTCCTGGAAGAGACACAACCTATGGCATCCCTTGCCAGACCTCATTTCCCACCTCTCCCTCATCATCTTATCCGAGAAGGAAGGCGCTGGGATCTGTCAAGTGGTGGCTGAGGAAACATCCCCACTTCTTCATGCTATCACATGATCTGGTGTCCTGGCATCTCTGCAGCATATCCCTAAGGGGGTCGGGGGGAAGTGGTGGCGAGAGTCACATCACCTATGGCTTAGAGGGAGAGGTAAGGTGGGGCTTTCTCCTCTCAGCCCTTCATGGTGGAGCTCCTGTGCACCCTAAGGGATGGGACAAGCACTGGAGAAAGGAACCACCTCCAAAATCTGCTCGCCCAGTCTCCAGGGAAAAGGTTGAAGGTGTTAGAAAAACAGACCAACAAGAAGAATGTAGGTCATTTCACTGACTGTTACATAGATAAACTCAGCACGGGCCTTGCAAAGGTCTGCTTGGCCTCATCCTTTTTTTTTTTTTTTTTTTCCTGTTACTTTTCCTTCCTTTTGGACTCAGATTTGTTCCAAGCTGCTCCTCCTTGGAAGGCAGAGAGAGAAAGAGGGAAAGACAGATCCACCAATGTACCTGGAGATATTTGGTATACAGAGATGTTGCCTTAGGACATTGAGACAAACTGACAACACGAATAACGTCCACTTGGAAACAAACAAACAAACAAAAAAATAATCTATTTTTTTCCTTCTTCTTTTCTTTTCTTCAATAAAAAGAGAACTTGAAACCCGAGACCTTTCCTTTCTTTGGCTCTTGTCGTTTCGAATGCCTTTCTGTGCCGTACGAATACACAGGCATGGGGTGAGGATGCCACCTACTGAAGGTGGAAGGCAAATTGCTGCATGATAAGTTTGGGATGGTGGGAACACGCAGCCCCATTGCTGCTTACTTGCAATACTTCGCTTTGCTTTATTCACTTTCAGTTGTGATTATTTTCCCTTCATTGGCTCTTCTCCTTCCCCAGTGCCCAGAGCAAACGGGCAGGTTTATACTGCTACCAGAACAAAAAGGTGGAGCTGGTCAGTAGAGTGGGACATTTTTCATCATAAAATGTTTTTTATTTCAGTGTTTAAAGAATAGCAATTTTTTTTTTTTTCATTAGGCATTTCTCAGAGTTATTTACAAAAGAAGATAAAAGCTCTCTACATTTCACACCCAAAAGTGTTGTGCAATATTTTTAACCTTAAAAAACAAACCACTGACATTTCAAGAGGATTTTTATTTCTTTTATTTTTTCCTACCATTTCCAACAGTGTGATCCTTATGGCTCCCTTCCAACTTGGGATATTCTATGATTCTATGACATTTGGAACAACTCTCCCGGCTTTGGAGACATGCTGTGGCAAAGTTCTGCTTGTGAGCAGCCATATTGTTCCAGATAGCAGTAAAACTTGATTAGGGTCTGCGTTGTTACAGTGTGTTTGAGTTTCTCCTTTTTTTATTATTTAACATTTTTAGGGAAAATGAATGAATACAAGAGGTGAACCAATCACTGACCCCAGCCTTGCTTCTCTCATTGAGAGACATTGCTTGACATCCAAACATCTCTGCTTCCTCTTTCCATTGGGCCATGTGGGTTTTTGGTCTTAAAGGGCAGTGGCATCTACCTTGCCATTAAGTGTGTAACATACTGGATGAATGGAAAGAAAAACTAAAAAAAAAACCCACAAATCCAAACATTTTAAAAATAAGGAAAATTATTACTTATAAAGACTGTGATATTATCATCCAATTTTAGATTATTCTATGAAACAGGAAAGCACAAAGGCCTCCCTCAGATGCCGGGTTGTATGATATTGTAATTATTATAGTTACACATAATGAATTTTAGCATACAGATATCTTTATACTGTGTTTTAAACCTTTTTTTTTCTTTTTTTTTTCCTCTCCTCCCATGCCCAACCAAACCTCCCCTTTTCTCCCCAGACCTTTCCCACTCACCCATTCACTCCAGCCGATTTGCAGGACATTAACGGTGTTATGTAATTACAGAGATAAATGTTTGTTTAATAACTGTTGATATTCGACTTTCTCTGCTCAATTCCTCCAGTTAATTCTGTTTCCCCTCGCCCTGCCCTGCCCCATTCCATGCCTTCCCTTCCCTCCTATGTTTGTCAGTTTTTTTTTTCTGTACAGTTTTCAGAGCACAAAATGATTGTGTCTTATTTCTAATAAAAGAGGTGTAAACTCTAGCAATGTCTGCTTCTTAAAAGTGCCCCACATGTGGTTTGCATCACACTCAGGTGCAAGGAAACACCTCTCCTGGACCTGCAAGCTGCTGCACTGGAAGAGCTATAATCTAGGACCAAACTTCTCCCTCTCAGATCCATTATTTGCCTTTAGCTTGTAGCTTCTTGGTACTCTAAAACCACCTTCCATCATTATGCATATTTCCAAGGCATGAAGACTTTTCTGTGCACCCCAGTCTGATTTTCCAAGAGTATCTCTAAAAAAAGCCTTGCTGCCCTCTTCCCAGTGTATGTCAAAAGGGGCTGAAATGTATTACATTAGGCAGGATTATTTTCTGAGCAACCTGATCTAGCTGTAATTGTCCCTGTTCATTGCAGGGGAGTTGGACTAGGTGACCTTTAAGGTTCCTTTGGAACTTAAACAATTCTATGAGGCTATGAATGGCAGAAGGCAGCAGTGCTGGCTTACAGTTTCCACTGGGGCCAGGGGGATGCTGATGCTCCCCTGCCCACATGATGCAAAGCCAACCCCAGTCTCACCCCGATGTCCCTTCCACCTCCATCACTTCCAGGAGCATGGTTCAGTGCATGAAGTAGTTGAGCAAATCACTCCTGAAAGATAACAATTAATGAGTTGAGCTAGAGATATTAAATTCCTTGGCATTTACCCTTGAATGGCTGAAATCCTCCAGTAGAAACATATTTGCTAGACTCTGCTCCTTCACCCAGAGGTTTACAGGTATAGGCTATAGGAATAGTCCTTTTAGTTTTATGGATAGGTCTGCAGGAGGCTTGGGGGTCAGCCAAATTTGATCCAACATTGTTGCTCTCCAGGACTTTGGTCCAGAGCCATCATAGCTCAGCATGTCCCCAGAAGTAATGACTACTCTTGATCTCACTGGAACTAATTGGACCTCAGACCAATTCTCTGTGATGCATCCCTGCTGTGACACCTGCAGGTAGGAGCAGATGACAGCATATGGTGCTTGGCATAACCCATCTCAACAATTGGTGTGTTCAGTCAAAATAAGAGGAGTCTGTGGCTAGATCAGCTAAAACCTTTTAGTTTATACCAGCCCATGAGGGAAACCTGTTATTATTACTGTCCCTGTTCATTGTAGGGGAGTTTAACTACATGACCTTTAAAGGTCCCTTCTAAACGAAACAGTTCTGTGATTCTATGATGCTATTACTGCTATAGGGAAATCTGTCATGCTAACTCTCCAAGTGGAGGAGCTCATCCTCCAGAGACCGTAAGTCTCCAATTGGAGCCTTAGAGGCCCACTGTGAGATATCCTGAAATATCTGAAATGTTGCTGGATGTAGGTCTGCCTTGAGGGAATTATCCTAATCCCCCATCTCCTGAGCCATGATCCAGCTCATCTTCATCAGCAGCATGTGATAGCACATCCTAAGTCTTCTCCATCCTTCCTGCCAGGAGTGTTCCTAGCCCCACATTTCCCATACCATCAACATATAAAGTTAGCAGGCAGATTAGGGAAATACTAACCAAAGACACACTAAGGAGTCTTCATAGGATCCATATGGATGACTTCTCCTGGTGTTTGCTTTCTTGCTCAGAACTACTTTCATTCATGGTTATCCAAAAAGCCTTCTACGTATCTGAGTCTCAAAAATCCATCTTGCTTGCAAGCCCCATTATGTAGACCAATTTCCTACCAAGTTCTGGAGATAACTTATGAGTCGGACTTGGTAATCCCTATGGGCCTCTTCCAGCTTGGGATGTTCTATGATTGTATGACTCTGTGATGACATGGAAGAAAAATACAGTTCCTAAGCTGAGGCCATGAAGAACTTCATGTTGGATGGACAAAATAATTCTTTCTGGTCTTCCTTTAGGACACAGTGAAATAGCATCAGCTCACTGCTGACAGTATGCATGTAATATTTTAGTAATGAACATCACTCATTACTCTGGCTCGTTAGCAAGATGAGTACCTATTACATCTGTAATACCAAGAAAGAGACCCAGGGGAATGAAGTAGTCAGCCTTAAGTCACTCATCAGCCTCTTTACTAATCCTCTCAAGAGAAGTCAACCATGCAAACTGAGCTCCCTTCCTTCACTTCTTATTTGAAAATCAGCATCTCTTGGCTCCTGCTGAGTATGTACAATCTCCTTTATTAGGGCTGAATCCTCACTACCACCACTTCCCACTGATTCTAAAAGCCCTTAAAGTAAAAGGCCAAATTTGTAGAAATTTGAAGTAATAACATGGCAAGCACAAGTTTTCTACTATGTAAATATGTAACTACTGGCAGCAGCAGTTGGGCAGGTGTTAAACACTTGTTTATTGCAGGACATCATCAAGGTATTTGGTTAATTAATCAAGATCTCTAAAAAAATTAAGGTGCAGGCCTGAACATCGAAGTCAATGCAGAAGAGGGGCTGAATTCCTTTTTCATTGTGTCCTGAGCAGAGTCAGCAGTGACAGGCATTTTTCTGGTTGGCACCAGGAATGCTTTAACACTTTGCACCTGCCCGAGTGTGTAAGTATATCTCTGCAATGAGAGTCACTGCCATGAACCACACAGTGGTCAAGGAGAAATATGTCATAAGTGGTACAAAGTGACAGTCTAACCCTAAACCTCTGACAAATGCACACCATATGCATGCTGATGTGTTCATATGCATTTCCATATATTAATTTCCATAGATATATTTTTGCACATACATTTCATATATACCCACAAATGCATGTCCCTCTATTTCATACACATAATCAAACATACATGTAAATATGCACATCTGTTGCAATACATTGAGGCAGGTTAAATACAGTGAATTTATGCAGTCAAACTGACATTAGAAAGATGTTCAGCACCTAAGACATACTTGAAAAATGTGCTGACAGAACTCTGGATGGAGAACAGGAATTAAGCAGGAAACAACAATTAGCTAGGGGAGCATTTTTTATATGTCTATTTGCAATGCTTTTTATTGTTGTTGATGATGATTCATTTATTTATTCATTTATTTTGTTAATTGATGTAATCTGTTTTTCCTCTCTTCTGTTTATGATGAGGAAACTGATTTTTTCAACCAACAAGATCAAGTTCAATCAAGTTCAGCTTCAGCAAAAGCATGAGTGATTTTTTTACCTGATCCTACAGGGCTGGCTCATTTTTGCCTCCTGCAGGTGACTGCGACTGTGAATGAGCCGTTTAATTATAAACCCTGCAATTTGCTGCCCTCCTGCAGAGACTGTGACCAGCGTGAAAAGAAAAGAGCTCAGCTTACAGAGGTAAAAACCAAGTTTACATGCGTATTTGGGGCAGCACCTCAGGATATAGCATGAGTTTTGCTGCAGAGCAGACACTAAAAGGCAATCTCTGAGACAGATGCTTCACTTCCAGTGTTGTCACAAGTTTTCTCACATCATTTTGTATAAATGCACTTGTTTTTCTACAGTTCACCTTCCTCAGTGTGCTAAGCACTGGTGATGGCACCTAACATGGCCTTATTTCCCATATGTCCAGCAGGTTTTGTAGTCCACGTGAAGTGGCCTGCTGTTACAGCTGA